TCAAGACTGAATAACATTAAACTGTATATCTAAAGAACAAAAACCTGTACTCCTAAACACTACAGCTAGAGTGAGAATAAGGAACTGCTCAGAAAAACAAGTTAGATATACAGTGAAGCCTAGTGAAGTTCCTCATGCTCCTCATACTCTTCCAAGGCTTAAGAGAGTTAATTCATTTTCTGCTCCCAAATATTGTTTTCTTATTCTTAGCTATTAAACTAGGAACAACAATTGCTTTGATTTCATAATCCCAAACAACCAGACAATCTAGACAACCAGCTGTAATATGAACAGACTTTCTACAAACACAGCTTAATTACTATAAAACAGGTACATATACCATGTGAACAAAGTCGAGTTTGTGTATAAATTCAGCAAGTACACATTTTTGTCAGTTTACACAAGCTGGACACAAGATGCCTTTATTTTTCTACTTTAGACAATCCCACCACACTAGACCACCAGACTCTTCTGGCCCATTTTCCTGTGTTCACAACAGGTGTTGGAATCTACTCACACACTGTCACTAGCCCGCCACCCCGAAATAATCCCCCCTTTACCTAATTAACATACCTAAAAATCCAGTCTTCCAAAAGAGATCTATCCCTTCTAACTCCTTACAGTCTTTAAATGTATATTCTGCTCCAATGCCGAGAGAGATACTCTTCCTTCTCAGATTCATGAAAATTCAAGTCCTCCCATTAACCCCATCATCTAGGCCACACTGCAATCATAGCTACTAATACTTGGTTATTTCACATACTTACAGCATACTTGTAGTCACAATGCAGACAGGTCTGACTAATCATAGAATTGTTTAGGTTGGAAGAAACCTTGATGATAATCGAGTCCAACTGTTCACCTGACACTGCCAAGTCCATCAATAAACCATGTCCCTAAGCATCACATCTACACATCTTTTAAATTCCTCCAGGCATGGTGACTCAACCGCTTCCCTGGGCAGCCTGTTGCAATGCTTGACAATTCTTTTCACGAAGAAATTTCTCCTAATATCCAATTTAAACCTCCTCTGGCACAACTTGAGGCCATTTCCTCTCATCCTATCACTTGTTACTTGAGAGAAGAGACAGATACCCACCTTGCTACAACCTCCTTTAAGGTAGTTGTAGAGAGCAATAAGTTCTCCCCTGACTCTCCTTTCCCCCCCCCCAGACTAAACAACCCCATAATGAAGATACTTTATAAAAAAGCTGTTTAAAGGAAGTTGAAGGAAGCTGCACCAAATTTGTGCACTACCTCTGTTTTCAGGATGGTGAAGAAAGACTAGGTAAGATGTACATTTTACTTCTTTAAGCTCAATTCACATCTTCCTCTGAAGCTGAAGTAGTTTTTGGTACAAAAGACTCTGTGGGAGCCCTAAATAAGCACACATTGCCAAGATCATAAAGTGCATGAGAAAAGATCATCTGTTAATCAAAGAAGAAAATCTGACTTTAATTGTGGTAAAACTTCCATTTTTACTTATTATGAACAATGACTACTCGAACAAGAAGCTCCCCTCCTCTTGTTGCAGCTATTTCACTCTAGGTGCAAGGAATATAACAGTACATGCTCAGCCCATTTGTTTCCCTAGCATTGTTTACCACTAAACCAGAAATTAAGAGTTCAAAATTTCTATCTGAAAGCAGTAAAGGATGGATGACGAAAATGAAATTAAAAAAATAACAGAAGTAAGGAGCGTAGAAAATTTAAAAATTAGTAAGAAGGTAATTCTAATTTAGAGACAGCATTTGGAACCTGCAGATATATTACCAAATCCACAGACCTAAAGCACAGTAGATAAATTCCTTCAAACAGCTAGATGATGTACATTTCTGGTTTCATATAACATTGTAACTTGGCAGCATTACCTTTGTCCAGTCTTGTAGCTTGTGCTAGCTTTTTCTTGGCCTTCCCTTTCAGTTGTTGGAGGGGAATTGAAGCTAGTGCTTTCTGCTGAATAGAAGGATTCTCATACATCAGTACGAGGTGCTCAAATTTTGTTTGAAGTGTTTTCAAGATGTTTGCAGCCTGCAAAAGGATTTTGAGCATTCTGAATGGTGTTCTGAGTGAAAAGCATACTGATTCAGGGAGAACAGAAAAGACATTTCTGACAGGAAAGTTTTTGACTTCCCCCCTTCTCGCTCCAGCTCTTCTGGACACCTTTTACCTGAAATCCACAAAAGAACCTGTAGGTCATTCCATTTCCTGGGCACTGCTGCACCGGTTCTCTGAACTCTATTATTGATGAATGCTGCTTTTCTATTTTTTATTCATGAATGCTGCTGGTCTATTTCTACTTCTTTCTCTCACAGATCAGCTCTGATACAGATTTGAATAGATTGACCTGTGACCATATACAGAACAATGTATTTTACTAGAAATCAACTATAAGAACTAGGCTTCTTTAGTCAGTTATCATGTCACTACACGAGTGGCAACTACATTTAAGGTACACCCGTATCTACTAAAGTAAGCAGCTAAGTTAATAACAGTGGAGTTAATAGCTGAGCAAACTATTCACTCCCATTTAAAGGGGAACAATACAGAAAGCGAAATGAGATTTTAAAATTACGAGTCTGGTATATTTTTGGGGGAAGCCTGCAGTACTGCTAAATTACCTTTTCTCTATTGCTAGATCATGCTTCATTCTTCAGCCTCGTTAACTACCATCTTTGTTTCATCAAAAATCCCATGCTTTCCTGAGATGCCAGCAGCAAATACAACATAATACACAGGTGTGAGAACCCTTTGGAAGATAACTTCTGTCAAAAGAGTATTTAAATTATGAGTGATTATTTTGATGCTGGACAGTACTAAAGGACCAGTCCCTACTTTTCATAACTGCTGAAACAGAACAGAACTGGTTTCACTCTTCCTGGAGCTCATCAGCTGTAGGTAACTGGTTTAACATCATAAACCAAACTATTCACCTTAACAGAAATTGAAAGAACAGAAATAAGGGAAGTTAGGGACTGCCAATGGCTTAGAGATCTTAATGTTCTGTCAGCTTCCTGAAACAGTGTTCAGAGAGATTGCTCAGTGCAGCAGAAAATCTCCCAGATTCTTTGACATTCAGATTTTCACATCGGCAAACACCACCAGTACTACAGTAGTGCTTAACTGGTTTCATGGAATCCACTGTATACCAACAAAGTCTTACGCAAATATCTAGATGTGTGGTGAGTCTCACTGCAAATCTAAAGTTCGGATATCTCTTTCCTTCTGTAATTACTATGTCATCCAGGAAGGGATCAGAATCCATCCACCAGAACCATAACTGGCCAGAGCTTTCCTTTTTCCAAGTCTCAAGAACACCTTACAATAAGAAACACAGAAGAGTCACAGATGAGGCAAAATAATGATGGGTTAGGTCCCTAAAACAGTGCCACTTAGGAATATTCCTGTGCTATCTCAAGCAGTCCATTTTTCCCTGTGCTTACTAGGACACCCATGAATCACAGGTGTAACGCGTAGGCAAGAAATAAAAATGCTTGCACTACAAAAGACACTAAATCTCTCTGCCATCTGACAGCAGCACATACAACAATAAAACCACACCTCTGCAGCATACTCACTGAAAAACAAAGCACTTACTGCAGTACAAGCAAAATGGCCAAGTCATAGCCAGAAGGTATTTTATGGACTTCCTTCCAATCAACCCAGACTTTACAGACCTGTAATTCCCTGAAAAGATCAGCTGAAATACAGCATTCTAATAGAATGCCAACATTGCATTAGCAAGGTCTCTAAATTGTAAGTTTGGTCCCACCACCCATGTTGAATCTCACGAAGCATGAAAAAACAATAGTTGCAGAGAAATGGATCCACAACTCTGATAGGCAGCATAAGACAGGGCAGAATAACTGCAAACAAAACAAGAAGGATTAACCTCAGAATACATCAAGTGTCAACTTGAAATCTGCAACGTTTTTCTCATTGCAAGATCAACACAACTTTTAAAGCTTTCAGTACTGACGCAAGTCACTCTAGAGGTATCATAATCACTTCCAATCACCATTGCAGAAGTGGCTGAAATAGTAAAACCCAAGTAGTAAACAAAAAAAAAAAACCACCCACAAACCCAGTCAGTACATTTTAAAGGCAACTACTGGCATGCTAAGATAACTAGATTAAATGGCTCAACATTCAAGTGCCTACAACAGTTCCTTTCCCAAAGGACAATATGGGTGATAAGTCAAGAGTATTGCCTCTTCCCAGAAGTCATCACTTCAATCTATGCTTTGACATTTCTCTTCCACTGATCTTGGGAAGGTGTTGGGAAGAAATAGTAAGTCACAGTTCAGCATCCAGCAATATACTGATAATATAATAATATCATAATTCATATCTTAAATATCACACTAATATCATCATAATTCAAAAGAGACAAATTCTGTTTAAGGATGTACAAGAAGCAAGCTTTTGGAAGTATTCATCTTACACCAACTTTAAGCCTGAAGTGACACTGGTTGTAGGGGGAAAAACTCTGTAGAAAGCTAAACCAAAGAATCCTTCAAACTTTTCAACAAAAGGCATAACACCTCATACAACTTTGAAAAATGAAGTTAAGAGTCTTTTCTCATCAGGCCAGGTAGCATCAGACGAAAGGTCTCTGCCTCTCTGTCTTGACAAGAAACTTGATCTCAACCTCTTGGACAAGGGAAACACAACCTAAATAACTATAAATTTGTCCTTCCCTGGCTAAGTTCCTGTCTCTCACAGCAGTCACGTGAAAGAAGAAAGCCCTCAAAGGCTACAAACTCCTGGCTAAGTTCCTGTCTCTCACAACAGTCATGTGAAAGAAGAAAGCCCTCAAAGGCTACAAACAGAGGCCATAATGCATGGACTAAGATGTCAGAAATTATAAACATTATGGTTGTGTTCCTGTTCTTTTGCTGGCTCTCGAATACCAAATACAGTATACAGCCTTAGTCTTAGCTTTCCCCTTCACTCTGTTCCCCCACCTTGTTGTTGCTTTGCAACACAAATCAGCTTTTTTTTTCATGATGCCCTGATCAATAAAACATTTATGGACATCTTCAACAAAATCTCTTGCTAATATTCTATTTATGGCATGTTTCATGTTGAAGTTGCATGGAGACCGAAGAAAACACTCAAAAGTTTCAGAAGCCATTGGAAAAATAAAAAATCCCTCTAGTCCAACCTCCTGCTCAAAGTAGGGTTAGCTATGAGGTCTGACCAAGTTGCTCTGGGCTTTATCCAGTCAGGTCTTGACAACACCCACATGTGGAGACTACACAGCCTCTCTAAGCAACCAACAGTTAACTCTTCTTCAATCTTTATATTCAAGATCAGTGCACCTACAAAGTTTTCAGGTTATAATTACCGTTTCAAGAGACTGCACAAGTGATGTTTCTGGTTGCTGACTGGCAGAGGCAAGAACAGAGTCAGGTCTTGAAGGCTGATGTGCAACCATCTGACTGCTGGCCACAGTTTCTGAGGATCCTGATCTGTGGGTTTGATTTGACTCATTCAGTCTGCTACTCCTCTCTCCAGCAATTAAGTCTCTGATTTTACGTAGCTGCTCAATCGAAGCTTCCTTAGGGAAAACCAGGTGAGTTTCTCCCTGAAATTTAGACAAATTAATTCAGCAGTTAACGCAGGTCTAAGCTGATCAGCTGTTTATATCTACTGTTAACAGCTATATCATTTACTGATATCATTATTATATTTAATATCATTATTATATCATTTACATTATAAGTTAACATGCTAAGGCTCGGCTGGATTCAGCCTTCAGATTAGGTTCCTTAGAGCAGAAGCTTGTAGGTCCCTCATAGCAGAAGCTATTAGATCAAGAACCTACAGTCAGTCTAGAGTACAAGGGCTCATAATAACATGCTTTTGTTAGTAACTTGTTTTGCAGAGCCACACATGGACAACGCAATTACGGTTTGGCAGAGAAAGCAGCAACGACAGCATGAACAACAAACGCCCAGTTCTCACAGTACAGCAGGAAAACACTAGGCAACACAGGAGGAGAGCAAACGTTGGGGGAAGCAGCCCCTAGAATGCTTATCTGTTGGGAATTCTCTTCTGTACCAATACCTTTTAGGTTTTATCAGTTTTCAGATAGGAAACATCGTTGTTATTGAGACCTGTGCACAGCTTGATTTCTGGGTTCCTATTTTGATTGTAACATGATTACTGGTAGCATAACAAAAGATTAATAATTATGACAGAAGCAAATATCAGTGTACTTTACATGACGAAAGAGGTTACAAAAAACATGAATATCCTGAAGTATTCATACTTTAAGAATTTCAGTTTCTACCACTGCAGCACTTCTATTTATTAAACCGAGTAATTCATTTATCCACAGTTACCTTAGCTTGCCTACCATTGCAGAGGCAGTGCTTCACTTTAACACTTATAATCACCACAAAACTAAATGGAATTTATCAATCCAGCAGAAGAGTCCTCATTTTTTACTTGAAAAAGTTGGTTTACCAGGCAGAGACAAAAGAAGGAACAAGTTGAAGAGAAGTTTGTGAGCTCCAGCCTCAAGTGACACAATAACCATAAGACTGAGCCAACATGTTTTTAAAGATCTGACAGAAGTAGGAGTAGCAGTTTATAACATGTTTAAAATTACTTATTATTGCTTGAATGCTTCCCTAGCTATACTGACTACTTCTTGGCTAAAACACATCATTAAAAGTCATCTCCTGAGAACCAGCATGAAAAGAAGTCTGCAGACCATTTCTCCCTCTGCGGTCACCATTTCTTTTAGCACTATTTTTTTTTTTTTAAATTGGGACAATTACACTAACTAACTTTACCAGAAGAGAATGCAGAGGTCTCATGACAGCTGGACCTAAATAACATAATGTATATGCCTATAGAGAAGCACGGCATCAAACAGACAAAGCAAAGCAAAGCTAGAGCAAGAGCTCTGCACCAGTAAACAAGGGTCGGGTTTTCACCTCAGCTCTCCTGTAATTACAATGGCTCCTTTTAGCTCAGCAAGCTTTGGCAGCTTAAGTTCTACCACGACAGGGACCATTTCAGGACACAAAGCAATCTTTGAAATACATCTTTTTGACCACAGCAGAATCAAGATTCACTCAGGAGTATTTTAGGATACAGTTTCACAACCGTTTCAAATGGGTAAATACGTCCCATCCTCTGAGTACTTCAGTAGTCTGTTACCCTCCACCGCTGTCACGAAAACAATAGTACTTGTGCAGCTGCACCATGAATTGCCTGAAAAATATTTCTTTTTTTGTTTGTTTGTTTTGGCAGATTAATTTTTAATCAGATCAGCTTCCCTTATCTAACTCACTATGGGGTCACACAAGCTCTACTGATGGTAGGAACACGCAGCAGAAAAGCAGGACTTAGGTTTTTTTCCACCTCTTCCAAATGACAGTTTCAAGGTCTAGATCTACAACATGGAAACTACTGTCTGACAGTGAGGTCTGTCCACCTAACAGTGAGCTGCTACTAAGAGAAGGGGTTTTTGCCCCGTTTCCCACCATTTCCTTTGTACCAGCACAGATACGTATTTGACCATTAAGCAAATTAATAGTGCACCTGAACAGCAGAAAACCAATCCTATCACAGATCAGCTTAGCTCTAGCTCCACCAGATTTCTGAAGTAGCCTCACCTACATTTTCTGTTGGCTAACTGCAGATGTTTGCAAACAAGGATTGAAAGACAATTAAGAAGACAGAAATTGGCTTAAAATCTAGTGCCTTGCAACTGGGAAAGAGGGAAAAAATCCAATTTTAAATTTTAGTGTGTAAACTGATGAAGACATCAAAGTGACTAAATTATACTCACCTCCTGAAACCCCATCTCAAATAAACATTCAACTGCTCCTCTCACAGGCAACAGCCTCGTGGAGAACGCTGGATTTCCAATCCGAATTAATCTGTATTTTTCTTCATAAGGATTCCTGAAGAAATTGAAAATTTTACTTACATTTGCAAATTAAGTAAACACTTAAAAGCCAGGTAACTGTACTAAGCTGCATTAGTCATTGTAAGAAATTTTTTTAAAAGCTTAGTTTCATTCATAGCATGTAAGCAGAATATGAAACCTATCTAAAACTTTGACTTAATTCATGTCCTTCTGCATTTAATTTTTAAACTAGATTTTAGTTTGCAACTTAAGTTCATAAATACGTGCTCCCTAGTCCTAGCCAGCAGGGCTTAGTCTGCAGTGACACTTAAAGACAACTTTACATCCCCTTCCACCTGGCAGCATTCTAATTGAATTCCTCAGCTGGATGGTTTTAGGTCCACTAAGGAAGCTATGCTAAACTTCCTGGTACACAGGTTAAATCACTGTGGTCTCATTGCTTCTTGAAGGGCTGCCTCTCAGTTCCTCTTTTAACTCTCCTAAACCTTCTCTCACCTCTTTCTCTAAAAGGAGTCAACCCAGGAGTCACTGTTCTCTGTCACACAGCGGTTTTCGCAAGTGGTTAACAAACCAGATACAGACAGGGAGAGGCAGCTCGTACATCTTGAGTTGCATGAAGACAACATCAAGGCTAGTCGTACACACTGGTGTGTATATACCCTACAGAGCCACCTTGCAAAAATTCAACTATCATTAACTCTCGATACCAATCTTACTGAGTCAGAAAAGAAAGGCAACAGAAAAATCTAGTTACTGTTCTAGCATTACTTATTATGCAACCACTAATTTTTAGATGCTTAAATGCTTGCAGACCCAGAGCCAATGCAGGCTTTTATGTTTAACATACAAAAAAAAGCCCTCAAAACAAATCAGCAAAC